GCGTATGATCAGCGTCACTGTGATCGGTAAATTGAGTTAGAATTTTATTTGTATAGACTTAGAGGATTGAATAAAGAATGTTATATTTGCTACTAAATAACTGTAACCCAAAAGGCAAAGTTCAATATCTAACTAGTATGTGATCTGTGATCTGCTCTGTTAGATTTTGCTAACGAATTCAATAAACCGGTTGGGAATTCAATGTAAAGGTCGCTTTAGGGAAATACCAAACAAAACTAAATACCACAATTAAATAACACAAGAAAGTGTTGACAATTTTGAAAACACCATATGCAAAGAAACACCTTTTTATAAGCATGCGAGTAGTATATAGCCGTTATTATTAACCGGTTTAAATATTATGAGTTAAAGTTAATAAACTTATAATTAAGTCTAAAATATATGACTAAATTATTAATATAAGTTATTAATTATGTTTGTTTGAATAGGAAATGGTAGATGATCTACAAATAACAAAGTGTATATTATTAGACAGATTAAATTTTAAACATAATTTAATTAATTTTTCAATTTTCTTCCTGCATAATATAAAGGCGATATAAAGATTAGTAAACATGTAGGGTTATAATTCCCATATGGTTAAGAAAAAGCGAAAAATGAAAGGAGAGGCGGACAGCAAATATTAAAAGCTAGACATATATGTTATTTATGAGCATAAGGGATTACTAGTAGTAAGTAGTTTTAGTAGCTATATATATGGGAGTTTTCATTATTTAAACTGTCATTTGATCTCAACTTCTTAACTTACTTAAAGCCAATTTGCGGATTTCCTCATTAATATTTGAGATTTCGCCAAAAACAAACTATGCAAATTTAAAATTTATTCATACGTAACCCACACTAAATTACTTAACTAACCTCAAACTATAAGGTTATAATGTTATGTAGTGTTAATTTTTATTTATTTTTTTCTTCGCTTAAATGCATTTTGCCAAAAAATTAATAAATTAAAAAATAATGAAATAAATCATTAAAGATGACTTCGAAATGTTAATAATTGCCAAAAATTTGCGAATTTAGATCCACTGACCTTTTAAACGAGCTCTTAGCTGTTTAAATTATCATTTCCTTTTTAAATGCATTTATACAACTCCAAAACCAAACCACCAACCAACCAATGGCTATAAAACGAAACATAAATATTTAATAAAAACACATAAAACTAAAAATAAATAATTTTTATTATGCATAAATTAAATTTAAGATCATTTTAAAATAAAAATAAATACAAAAAATAAATAATTAATCATGAGAACCAAAAGAAGGTGTCAAAATAACTATACACCTTCTGTTAAGTGAATTTGACAATTTGAATATTAAATACGTTATGCTCTAATGCATTAACATTTCATCAACGACAAAAACCACTCAAGCCCTGACACGTGACCATTTACTAAAGTTAAAGACACACAATGGTCAATCAGTAACAATATGAAACAAAAACAACAACATCATCATCATCATAGTCATCATCGTCATCTTGCTACAGTAACATCATATTAAATTCAATTAATATTTATTGTTTCTTCTTTTTTCTATATCTACTTAATCAAATATTTCATCAAACTTAATCCCACATCAAAAGACCCAAAAAAAACGTACAAACACAACCAACACTTAAGTTCGTTTCTCTATGATCCAAACGCAGTACAGAAGAGTTAACGTTTGTATCTCATTAATGTTGTAATAACTCAAGTATTATTAAGTATGTATTATGTATCGAAGTTATACAAATTTTAGTATTTTGTATGTTTATAGATTAGTTGTGGTATAAGAAAAATCATTATACGTTATAAATGTTTAAGATTGATACATGCAGATGATTTATGATGTTTTAAAGAAAAATTAGTTTCATTTCATTGTTAATTGTCTCTTGGGTAGATTTTTGCCAAAGCTAATACACTTAGAAAAATTAATATTTTACTCAAGAGACATGGATCGCTGAAACTAAACACTAACTTAAGTATTTAAATCTCGGTTATATTTTGAAAGCTTAATACTTCCTCTAACAGAACTAAAACAGAACTAGAACAGAACTAGAAAAGATCTAGAACAGAACTAGAACAGAACTAGAACAGAACTAGAACAGAACTAGAACAGAACTAGAACAGAACTAGAACAGAACTAGAACAGAACTAGAACAGAACTAGAACAGAACTAGAACAGAACTAGAACAGAACTAGAACAGAACTAGAACAGAACTAGAACAGAACTAGAACAGAACTAGAACAGAACTAGAACAGAACTAGAACAGAACTAGAACAGAACTAGAACAGAACTAGAACAGAACTAGAACAGAACTAGAACAGAACTAGAACAGAACTAGAACAGAACTAGAACAGAACTAGAACAGAACTAGAACAGAACTAGAACAGAACTAGAACAGAACTAGAACAGAACTAGAACAGAACTAGAACAGAACTAGAACAGAACTAGAACAGAACTAGAACAGAACTAGAACAGAACTAGAACAGAACTAGAACAGAACTAGAACAGAACTAGAACAGAACTAGAACAGAACTAGAACAGAACTAGAACAGAACTAGAACAGAACTAGAACAGAACTAGAACAGAATAGAACTAGAACAGAATAGAACAGAATAGAACAGAACTAGAACAGAACTAGAACAGAACTAGAACAGAACTAGAACAGAACTAGAACAGAACTAGAACAGAACTAGAACAGAACTAGAACAGAACTAGAACAGAACTAGAACAGAACTAGACAGAACTAGAACAGAACTAGAGCAGAACTTGAACAGAACTAGAACAGAACTAGAACAGAACTAGAACAGAACTAGAACAGAACTAGAACAGAACTAGAACAGAACTAGAACAAAACTAGAATAGAACTAGAACAGAACTAGAACAGAACTAGAACAGAACTAGAACAGAACTAGAACAGAACTAGAACAGAACTAGAACAGAACTAGAACAGAATTAGAACAGAACTAGAACAGAACTAGAACAGAACTAGAACAGAACTAGAACAGAACTAGAACAGAACAGAACTAGAACAGAACAGAACTAGAACAGAACTAGAACAGAACTAGAACAGAACTAGAACAGAACTAGAACAGAACTAGAACAGAACTAGAACAGAACAGAACAGAACAGAACAGAACTAGAACAGAACTAGAACAGAACTAGAACAGAACTAGAACAGAACTAGAACAGAACAGAACAGAACTAGAACAGAACAGAACAGAACAGAACAGAATAGAACTAGAACTAGAGCAGGAACAGAACTAGAACAGAACTAGAACAGAAATAGAACTAGAACTGTTTGTACATTCAATCGGTGGCCTTTCCAACATGTCTCCGTCATAAAAGGCTGTATAATGTCCGCTATAGCTAGAGGGTCAATTGCAATAATCCAGCTGGGAGTTTGTCTTCTCCCCGAGACTTGTTTCGGTCATCTGACTGAAATTTTTCACTTATCAATAGTCACACCTCGTTTCTCTTGCGTTTAGTTTCTATATATCAAATCGTTTTCTTAACAGTTGTAACTTCCTGCTTCCATTCCAATAACAATGTTGAAAGCTTGACACATTGCGAAGAAGCGGTCTACATTACCATTTATTAAACCGAAGCCATAGTTTCCTATGGCACGTGAAATTCCTGAATTGTCGGCGCCAAATTATGTTCTTATGTTGAAATCGCCAGCAAGCATTGCGTCTCAATCAGCTGTTAGTAGTTGGGATTATTATATAGCATAGTATACATATACTGTGAACTGTAGTATATAGTGAGGACGACTGTCTTAAAAGTAATAGTTAACACTATTGTCTAGTATTTAGTTGAGACTGTAGTCTGATCTACAGTTTAGACTATAATATTGTCTATACTTAGTTTTAACGATTGATTTGAGTACGGATTACTTAGAACTTACCTCGATCTAGCGTATCTTTTTAGATATGAGAATAGAGGAAAAACTGCTGCTTATGCGGACAGTGTAGTGAAACTTAAAAACTGTATCATGGACAGGAGCCTAGAGTAAATCTAAGCCAGATAAAAGTGTTACAATTCAGAACAATAACTCATAGTCCAAGTGAAATTCCCTTAAAAAACAATGATAAATATCTGGGAATTATTTTGGACTCTTCACAACAGAAATCATGGAAACTGAACATTCAACATTGAGTCAAGAAAGTAACTGTGTGCTGCTTCACTTGACGTTAGAAGTTCGGGATAATATTGAGACTTAGTATCAACATAGTTAAATGGATGCGTTCAGTTTTTGCACGTGCTCTTCCCACATATGGATATCTGCTAAAGTGGACTTGAACTTGATAGAGTGAAAAGATCATTATGTATTAGAACTTTAAGAAGCTCTGAACACAAAATTTTTTCAAAAGGTTGAAAAAGTATGGAATAGTCTGGAAACATGTAGAAGAACCAAGCTAAAGTAACCTTCTTTCAATGAGAAATCCACTAGACAACTTATATCTTGAAAAAAAAAAAACTCGGAAATATCAATCAAATATTTCTTTCAGTGTACACAAAAGTGCGACCAATACTGATAATACTAAACAGATTAATGAAGATTATAAACATAAACTAAACGGCTTGTTTAAGAAACAGAAAAACTAAAACAAATTAATATTGTAGAAAATAAATCATTAAACAAAATAGTAAAATAACAAACCATTCAAACACTCACACACACACACACATACATAAAATTGAGAAATTAAAAATCATTACTTTTTATACGCTTAAACCTAAAATGAACTTGCAATTTTATCGACAAACTTTTTCTATGGATTTGATGTTTCGTCAACAAACAGCAACATTTTTCGTCTGCATTTTTAACATGTTTCCAGTCGGATCGATTGTCTTATGATGAGGGCTTTTTCAATGCCAGTCCAATTAAAACAAAGAAAAACAACCAATAATTAAAAAAATCTACAAACGCCGCTAAAATTGTTTCTTGAATAATCATATAAAAGCGAAATGATGCTGGCAAATGTATAGCAAATCAATTTTATCTTTCCTACTGAGAAGAGCAAAGCAAACAAACAAAATGGTTAGTGTTAAAGTTTAAACATTAAACAAATATTGTTATTAATTTACATATTTTAAAATTTGATTTTTATTGTTTATATTCTTTGTTTTTTTTTTTAGAAATATTCCGTAGCTGTTGTATTTGCCCTTTTGGGTTTAGCTGCTGCTGATGTATCTCATTTGGGTGGTGCCTACAATTATCCCAAACATGATGATAGTTATCACTACAATCAACCCGCCCCTCAAGATGAAGGTTACCACTACAATCCACCAGCACCTCAGCAGACATATTTGCCTCCCGCTCAACCACAACAAACCTACTTGCCTCCCGCTGAACCTCAACAAACCTACTTGCCTCCTGCTCAACCTCAACAATCCTACTTGCCTCCTGCCCCTCAACCCCAACAAACCTACTTGCCTCCCGCTAAACCCCAACAATCTTACTTGCCTCCTGCTCCTCAACCTCAACAATCTTACTTGCCTCCTGCTCCTCAACCCCAACAATCCTACTTGCCCCCTGCTCCTCAACCCCAACAAACCTACTTGCCCCCTGCTCCACAACCCCAACAATCTTACTTGCCCCCTGCTCCTCAACCCCAACAATCTTACTTGCCTCCTGCTGAAGATGGTTACCGTTATCGTGTTGTCAAGCGTTATCGTCTCAGATCTCATTAAGAACTCCAACAGGCGGAAAGTCCTAACACTTTCCTCTATTGTTTGAATATTTCATTTTGTGTGAATGTGATTGAGTGTTCAGCTCAAAATTGTTGTGAACGAATTTGTTAAAAATTATTTAGGTTTAAAACTGTTTTCATCCTTTTTTATGCGAATAAATACATCATTTTAAAAATTTTATATTTACTCAGTTTAATTTCTATTGAAACTAAATTTAACAATTTGATTTTCTCAACTCAAAAGTTAGGAAATTCCAATTACAATATATCTACTCCTATATAACTACATTGCAAACATCTTAATCAGCTTCATCTTGGTTGGTCCCTTAACATCTGTTAGTTTATTTCTTGATCCATTTTATTCATCTTAAATCTCTTTTGTATAAATTATATACGATAAATAATTCATTTCACAAATCTTAATTGTAAATAGTCTTTTGCTCTATCCTTTAGGCACACTTTGTAAACGTTTACATATTTATTAATTTTATTACAATCTTTAACAATAATCTGCTGTAGAAATGTCCCTTCTTTAGTACTCATTCAACAACAAACATACAAGTCCATTGTGGAATTTTGTATAAAAAAAAAAAATAATGTTGGTCATGTAATCAATTTGCATTGGGCAAAATGATGTACGCGTTTTGTTATCGATGTATAAAATAAATCATGAAAACTACGAGAGCCGTTTTAATGTTTTAATGTCTAAGTAAATTTTCTTGTCTAAAGTCACTTTACTTGCCGAGACTATAGTCTAGCAGCTAGAAAGTTAGGACTATAGTCTACCCTATAGCCAAGACTACAGTCTACTTTATAGTCAAGACTAAGTATAGTCGACTCTATAGTGAAGACTACAGTCTACTCTATAGTCTAGTCTATAATGTAATATATAGTTAAAACTACAGTCTACTCCATAGTATAGTCTATAGTCTAGTATACAGCCCAGTCAATAGTCTAGTTTATAGTCAAGTCTGTAGTCTAGTCTATAGTCGAGTCTAAAGTCTAGTCTATAGTCTAGCCTATAGTCTAGTCTATAGTCTAGTCTATAGTCTAGCCTATAGTCTAGTCTATAGTCTAGTCTATAGTCTAGTCTATAGTCTAGTCTATAGTCTAGTCTATAGTCTAGTCTATCTCTAGTCTATAGTCTAGTCTATAGTCTAGTCTATAGTCTAGTCTATAGTCTAGTCTATAGTCTAGTCTATAGTCTAGTCTATAGTCTAGTCTATAGTCTAGTCTATAGTCTAGTCTATAGTCTAGTCTATAGTCTAGTCTATAGTCTAGTCTATAGTCTAGTCTATAGTCTAGTCTATAGTCTAGTCTATAGTCTAGTCTATAGTCTAGTCTATAGTCTAGTCTATAGTCTAGTCTATAGTCTAGTCTATAGTCTAGTCTATAGTCTAGTCTATAGTCTAGTCTATAGTCTAGTCTATAGTCTAGTCTTAGTCTAGTCTATAGTCTAGTCTATAGTCTAGTCTATAGTCTAGTCTATAGTCTAGTCTATAGTCTAGTCTATAGTCTAGTCTATAGTCTAGTCTATAGTCTAGTCTATAGTCTAGTCTATAGTCTAGTCTATAGTCTAGTCTATAGTCTAGTCTATAGTCTAGTCTATAGTCTAGTCTATAGTCTAGTCTATAGTCTAGTCTATAGTCTAGTCTATAGTCTAGTCTATAGTCTAGTCTATAGTCTAGTCTATAGTCTAGTCTATAGTCTGGTCTATAGTCTAGCCTATAGTCTAGTCTATAGTCTAGTCTATAGTCTAGTCTATAGTCTAGTCTATAGTCTAGTCTATAGTCTAGTCTAGTCTATTGTCTAGTCTATAGTCTAGTCTATAGTCTAGTCTATAGTCTATTCTATAGTCTAGTCTACAGTCTAGTCTACAGTCTAGTCTATAGTCTAGTCTATAGTCTAGTCTATAGTCTAGTCTATAGTCTAGTCTATAGTCTAGTCTATAGTCTAGTCTATAGTCTAGTCTATAGTCTAGTCTATAGTCTAGTCTATAGTCTAGTCTATAGTCTAGTCTATAGTCTAGTCTATAGTCTAGTCTATAGTCTAGTCTATAGTCTATAGTCTAGTCTATAGTCTAGTCTATAGTCTAGTCTATAGTGTAGTCTATAGTGTAGTCTATAGTCTAGTCTATAGTCTAGTCTATAGTCTAGTCTATAGTCTAGTCTATAGTCTAGTCTATAGTGTAGTCTATAGTCTAGTCTATAGTCTAGTCTATAGTCTAGTCTATAGTGTAGTCTATAGTCTAGTCTATAGTCTAGTCTATAGTTTAGTCTATAGTCTAGTCTATAGTCTAGTCTATAGTTTAGTCTATAGTCTAGTCTATAATCTAGTCTATTGTCTAATCTATAGTCTAGTCTATAGTCTAGTCTATAGTCTAGTCTATAGTCTAGTCTATAGTCTAGTCTATAGTCTAGTCTATAGTCTAGTCTATAGTCTAGTCTATAGTCTAGTCTATAGTCTAGTCTATAGTCTAGTCTATAGTCTACTCTATAGTCTGGTCTATAGTCTAGTCTATAGTCTAGTCTATAGTCTCGTCTATAGTCTAGTCTACTCCATAGTCTAGTCTATAGTCTAGTCTATTTATGTTTTGTCATTCTGAATATGAAAATTAAATTTCCTGCCCCTCGTACCCACTCACAAAACTAAATACATATTTATATCAATGGGATTTTGTTACTATATGTCCGTTTACCACTTACAAATTCATGTACTTACACATACACACACTCATACATAAACAAATGAATTTGAATGGATGAATATTTATCTTTGAGTTGAACATATTCAATAAAATATCCTTTTGCCCAGACGAATCTATGAACGAAATTTATATAAAAGCAATATTCTCTTCTTCTTCTTCTTTTTTCTGTCGTAGAACAAACTTTATCAAAGATGGTCTTGTATGAGTCTGTTGTAAATAAGGATATAACAAGTAGTATCCTTTATGCCTTTAGAAGTTTTGTGTATATGAATAAATATATGTTTGTATGCAAGCAGTGTGCTAGTATGTGTAACCAAAAAACATGATTAATGTTCATGTTAAGGATAATTGCACATTTACCATAAATCATGATGTGGACCCACATTTGTCCAACTATTACATTTTACTACATTGAATAATACAATGATGGCCAGTGAACATACTAGTACACACACACACACATACTCTTTCGTTGGGAAAGAGTTTGAAATTTTGAATGTAAGACACATACACACACACTGCCTTGTGAACAATCTGCTATAAAGGAGGCTGTTACGTTGCCTTACAAGGCACCCAACCATTGTTAAGATGATAGTAAGATTAAGCAGTATCAAAATACGTTTCTTTTATACTTCTTTTTTTGGAGTATTGCGTTTTTTATATGGCAAATAAAATATGTTCATTTTTTCTTACCCTTCCATTTGTTAGTATCATGAGAATGGTAAAATGGACTGAAAAAGTGTTATAATCACTGGGTTAAGTAGGAATGAGTTGAGAGAAAGGGGAACGAACCATTTAGAATTTTAGGGTTAAGTACTGACCATAAATTGGGATATATCTACATACATATCTAATAGTATATATGGCATTTTGTTAGGTCCATGCTGGTTATGGATATGGTGTATATGTTTGTTAGAGAACAATAGTTATCATTCAAATGCAAATTAATCACATTTATTCACATTTATTTGTTGTACGAAAAAATTAATCAATCGGCAAACAATCTTTCTTCAAATTGAATGATAAATTACTGGAGGAGGGAGTTATATATGAGATTTTTATAAAGTAAAAGAACAGTTGTAGTTGACAATAATTTAGTCAGTAGCATTATAATTTTTATAGTGATCTATCCTCTTTATTGGAGACTAATAAGTAGTTGAGACTATAATGCGGTTAATAGATGAAAGACTATTTAATAGTTGAGACTATAGTATAGTCTACCGTTGAGACTATAGTCTAGTTTATAGACTGGTTAATAGTTCAATCTATGGTCCAATAAAGACTAAAATCTGGTCGATATTTTGTTAAGGGTCTAGTTTATAGTTGAAACGCTTGTATATTGCCAGATCCCAGATCCATCTCTGTAGTTATGTTTTTAATATCGAGCTTTTAGTCTGTTGAAACTATAGTCCGATCTATAACTGAGACTATTGTCTTTAGTAGTCTGTAGTTGAGACTTTAATTCGAACTGGTCTATAGTTAAATCAGTAGTCTACTCTGCAGTTATTACTTAAGTCTTCTCTACAGTCATAACTATAGTGTACACTATACCTAAGACTACAATCGACTCTATAGTCCAGACTGCAAAGTACTTCATAGTCGAGACTATATTCTACTCCACAATCTACTCGGACTATAGTCTAGCCATGTTTGAGGTCTATCCTGCATTCTAGACTATATTTTACTCTACTCTATAGTCCAGAGTTCTACTCTATAGTCTACTCTAAAGTCAAGACTATACTAATTTTTTTTAGTAAAGATTGAAATATAGCCTATAGTCGAGTTAACAATATCGAGGTTATAGTCTACTGAGACTATAGTCCGATGTATAACTGAGATTGTTGTCATTATTAGACCACTAGTTGACACAATAGTAGAGACTATAGTCCAATCTATTGTTGAGTCTATATATAGTCTGATAAGCAAATTAACGGTCTAATGGAGGAATCTACCCCGAACTATAATACTGTTTTTAGTCATTTGGTATAGTTTAAGGTAAGCGTTACAACAACAAAAATCCGTAGTACCCTTCCCCATTATTGTTGGAGATAAATATCAGATCATGACTCTATTATAGTAAAATTTTAAAGTACTGTATAAAAATATTTCATATAATGAAAAAAATTTAAATAAAACCTTCTTGATTTTATCTCTTAGATAAAATACAGACAAAGCATTATTTTTTTTCGCACTAAAATATGCAACATGTTTCTTTTGCTGCTTAAAATTCTGTCACTCAATGTCATATTGAAATGAATGTACAAATATCTACTTGCTGATCTTTCTGAGTAAGACTCCACTCTAAAGTTCTTTATACATTTTTAAAGTACAAAAATATCTACATAAAACTTATGTAGAGAAGGTGTAAAACAGACAACAAAAGCAAGCACTATTTCACTTGTATTTTTACAAAACGAATAAAATATTTCTTTACTATAAAATGTAAAAAAAATAAAATAAAAATGAAAACCT